CTCCAATCAACATGTGGAAACTTTTCAATGAAATTACTGGTAACAGTAAGCGATGTAATGTTTTTCCCTCTTATGATGTTAACGCTCTTAATCAGTCTTTTATACGCTCTTCTTCGACTAAAACTACCTCTAACGTTACTAATCATGTAGCTGATAACTTTTATGACTTTAATACTCTTGATGTTCTAAAATGTCTTAAAACTCTTAAGCCCTCATGTAGCCTTGGCTCTGATGGTGTATACCTTCCTAATGTTCCAAAACAATGTGCAGATGCTTTATGCTCTCCACTAACTAACATCTTAAATGCTTCTTTCTCCAAAACCGTTGTACCTGTTCCATGGAAAGACATTAAAACGGTCCCTGTCCCTAAACCTGGTAATAGCAAGAACGTAAAGTTCAGACCCAAAGTCATTACTTCCCCGTTTCTAAAGCCTATGGAAAAACTAGTACATCTTAAACTTGAACTCTCCCTTAAAAGCTTCGAAGACCCCAAAAAATTTGCCTACAGACAGGGTAGGAGTACTTTGGACGCTGCAGCCGTCTTACACAACAGTATTGTCTCATCATTAGACAAAGGTGCCAAATATGTCCTCTGCACGTTTCTTGACTTCACTTCTGCTTTCGACTCTGTACCTAGATGTCTCTTGCTAAATAAGCTCTCGATGACACAAACTGAGTCCTGGATCACAGAATGCAGTATACAGTATACGAAGGTGAATCCTCCTCTGCTGTGCTCACTGAAGCTGGTGTCCCCCAAGGTGCTGTACTCTCCCCACTTCTCATTTCTTTCTTCCTACATGACCTACCATCTTCAAATGACATTAACTTTGTTAAATATGCTGACGATCTGACTGTATCTTTGCCTGTCAAATGTCAAAGCGACTGTTCCAAACTATATGGCTTTTTATCAGAAATCAGCCAGTGGTCCAATTAAAACGGTCTTGCCTTAAATCCCTCTAAATGTCAAAAAGTTAATTTCATCTTTAGGCACAAATCTGACTTAAACAAACTGGTTAGCACTCACGAGGTGTGCAATATACATGGCACTGAAATGGAAACCAAGTCGGAAGTTAAATATCTTGGCATAATTCTATCTGCTAGCCTTTCCTGGTCGTCTCATATCTTGATGATTTCTAAGAAAATATTCCCTCTTACCTTCTACACCAAGAAGTTAAGACATTTTGGAATAACCCAACCCTTACTCCTACGATTCGTTAACCCCCGCATTCTGCCTATTATTCTCTATTGTTCCCCCTTAGTTTCTCCAGGACTACTGAAAAAAGACTATACCTTACTACGTTGAAGGTTGTAAGCAGGGTAAGCTACGTGCCACTTAAACAGCTATGTTAATATTCTGGTTGATAGGCACATGGACTCATGTGAAAAATGGGCTAAATCCATTCTATCTAACTCACAACACCCTCTTCATTCACAACTCTCCCCTTGTATCTTTTCAGTCAAAACCAGAGGCCTATATAAAAAACTATATGCTCGCACCAGCAAGTACAAAAATTCAACCATACCCTACTTAGCTCGTGTTCTGTGCGATAAAGAAAGCATTAGGCGTGATACCTATAACTTATTAAATAGTCAGTAGAACAACTGAATCCCGTCTTTCCAATTCAGATCTTTTATGAGTGCGTTTTCTTTCTTTTCCTTTGATCTTTCACTTTTTTTCTATGTTATGTGCTGCTTTGTTTCTTTCTTCTGCTTGCACCAGTAAATATGCTAGTATCTACTTTTCTAACACCTGGCTTTGCTACCGAAATGCCAATATGTTGTTGTCATAATGAACTGAGATTTCCTTAATCTATGTAGAATTCCCTTGATTGATAATGTACTAACTGGATGCAATACTGTAGTAAAGTGGTGAGAATTCCATTCTGCATTCGCAAATACTGTTTTGGAATAAAGCTTATTGTTATTATCTTCAAAATTTCATATCAAGTTGAAAATTATTATCACCTTGGTTACTATGTGGAATTAAACAAATAATAATTGTATCCATGTAAAGTAATCTATATAAATGCGATTGTACAGCTTTTGAGAATGAAATCGCCGAATGAGATATTTGGCTTTTTATAAATAATATTAAGGTCATTAACAATTTGGAAAGCGTGGGTGTGTTAGTTGGAATCAAAGATGACAAAATTCATGCATTCAGAATAACTGTGTTATCATCTATCTGCAAAATTATTATGTATAACAAATTTCTTTTAATTAGTTAGTAAAATTGAATAAGCCAAGACCAAAAAATATCACCAAGATTATTTGAGCTAATTCTTTTTTTAATCCTTTCGTCTCATCTGGCCACAAGGTGAACAATACAAAAACAGAATATAATCTGTGATCTAATTTTTACACAATCTCATCCATGTCACACTCCTGACGCGTCGTCACTTATCCAGGTTCCACTCAACCAGTCACCTGGCGTGCGATGTCACACCAGACAGTCTTCTCAGTGTGCATACAAGCCACCTGCATTGTCTTTAGAATAGTTTGGAAATAACAGGTACTCCATCGGTTTGTTACCAAAGTTCTATATTGCTGATTCTTTCTGGCCCGTCATCTTACTTTTAGTGTGGAGCCAGCGAAGGTGGTTGTTGATAATAGTCTCCACCCTATTTCGCATGCTGTTCATGACACACGTACACACACACCAAGTTTCTCATCCATGTATATACATTGGTGGTAAAGGATCTAAATATCCTTCTATATGCATTGGAGTGTTGCAGATTTTCACACTGATTTCAGTGTAATGAAGTTGAAACAATGCCTCGCTAGGTAGGTGCAGGAAGTAAATTCTGTTAAATCGCTCCCGATGATGATAACAATTGGCACTAATCATGGGCGGTCACTGCGTCGGGTCCCAGCGGCTGAATGGTCTACGAGATCGCTGGCCTAGTAACCAGAAGGCTTGAGTTCGAGTCCCGGCGGCTACTTACTGATGAAGAGTCTCAAACTAGGACGTCGGAAACAGCTGTCCAGTAGTCTCATGTTTTTTGTTCAGGTCGTGGATACATTGATCATGTGTTCACCCTTCGTCAGTTGTTGGAACACCAGCACACGTATTGCAGGCCAACGATCGTTGTGTTTCTTGATATTAGGGCTGCCTTCGATTAATTGGACAGAACTGTGCTCTAGAACTGTCTGTTAGAGAGAGGTGTACCTGATAAATTTGTTAACATCTTGAAAGCCATATACAGAAACACCTCGGGTAGAGTGAGGGCATACAACCAACTATCACCACTGTTCCCGAACAACAGTGGGACTAGACAGGGTTGCCCAATCTCTCCATTTCTCTTTCGATGACATTCTGGAGTCAGCTCTGAAGGATGTGCGTGAAGGTGGTGTAGATCTGCTACCTGGAGATAGACTGTTCGACCTTGAGTATGCAGACGATATCGTCTTACGGTGCGATAGCTTGCAGGCTGCCCAAATCGCACTTAATCAGTTGGCGATCAGTGTCTGTAAGTATGGTATGTGCTTTGCGCCGTCTAAGTGCAAAGTACTGTTACAAGATTGGCAGGAGCCTGTACCTGCACTCACTGTTGCGGGTGAACCGCTTGAAGTTGATGATAAGTTTGTGTACCTGGGTAGTTGTGTGAGTGCTGGCGGAGGGGTGACGGATGAGATTTCCAACTGTATAATGAAAGCTAGGGTGGCATATATCAACTTGAGCCACCTCTGGCACCGTCGCGACGTTAGCCTGGCTGTCAAAGGTGGTCAGTCCTTGACGTGTCGTTGTGGGATGAAGGATTTTTGTGCTAGATTAGCGTCGGTTGGTGTGTCACGACTCCCTGGTTGGGGTCCAAGAGATAGCTCAAATCGACGGCTCGAAACGTTATCAGATATGGCCAAGAATCGTAATCATTGGCGAATGTGTTGCTATTTCCTCGTTCTTCGCTTCCCGATGATAGTTAACGAACACTGTTTGCACTTGTTAAGCATGACTGTCTTCCTTCCAGATGAAGTTCTTTATCCGTTCTCTACTTGTATTTTTTTCTTTTGATCTGTTGTTTGATTATTATTGTGTAGCACATCTTTCTTGGTGCCATATTGTATCAAGTTTTTATGCGTTTAAATAAAATAATAATGATTCCCTAATTGATGTCAGCTCATGATGAAATCCTCCAAGCAATTTTTTAAATCAATCAACTTGTAATGTATACAATTTCAGTGGTAAAATTTGCATCACACAGTTTCCTTCATATAACCGCAATTAATCAGATCATAATGTGTGCATGATCTGCTTGATATCATAAAAAGTGACCAAGAAATGCAGCGTAAATGCGTAAAGCCACATACTACTACTAATTGATTGAAATGAGTAGTGGTAGTATACCACTCCTAGTCATTTAAATCGATTCAGCTCTCTAAGCTGAGGTAAATCGTGTAGACCACTGATATGCTGAACCCTGAACAAACGAAATGACCGACCATAGGTGTTCACGTCACCTAGTGATATTTGGCTAGCAAGCAACCACTACTGCTTAGTACAGCTACTCATCTCAGTGAATTAGTAGTACATATGGTGTTAGTGCAGATCTTTATCAACAGCTATCCACTTTGTTGAATCCATACTGAAGTTGTGATGACCGGTCAGAAAGCCATTTAACAACAAGAAACTCTTGCAGTGCAAAGAACCTATTGTACAGTCCAATATGCCTCAAAGGGATTGGACAGATGGATACGACACACACACACACACATACAAACGGTCAGTAGACTGTTAGAATGACATCAAGCAGATTCTCGAGTAGAATCCGAATACGAAACGACAAATCGGCCGGGGGTGGAAAACTTATGTTCAATCGTGAAGACAGCTAAAAAGAGAACTGCAGAGCAGGAGGAGGAACATTCATCCCATTCCAAATCTGATCTCAGTAACTTTTCTGCTAGTGTTTTTCATCCTAAAAAAACAAACAATTAATTTACAACAAAATCTCTTCAATACAAAAAAGGCTCATTGTTTGTTTTACAGAAAAATACCAATGTGAATAATAATAATAATAGTGTTAAAAAGGCTATAATAAAAATAGAAAAAAGGAAACAAGAAGTATACAATAATACGAATAATTGTCGAAACAGTAGGCACATTATTCATCGCTTTATACAACATTGATCATTTATTATTCTGCATAATAGCCACATTTTCTAATGATATTCTACGATGTTCTGCATCCACACTAGCTACCATGGCTCTAATTCGATCACCTAAACGTAAAGTGAACATAGTTTTTGCTTCACTAGCACCACCACAACCAGTAGTTAATAATCCGGACGGTTTCACCATGTCACCACCACGCTTCCACCTCGAGGGTATGCATGTTGTGGAATATAGGCATTCTCTTCCACCCCGATATCACAGAATGCACCAAATGTTGTCACATTTTCTATTCGACCACTGACTAGCCTACCTTTGCGTAGTTTTGATATTTTCATGACTGATGAGTGAAATAATGGTGCGAAACAATCTGTAAATAAAAGGTTCATGAATGAAAAAACATAAACATGTACGATCAGTTGAGACAACGAAATTTAAACAGCTTGTGTGTGAACAGTCATTAGAAAGTCCTGAGAGAAAATATCTACGATTCTTAAACAGAGATATGGGTTTGTTAGGTGGTTCGAGATATTTGGGCGAAAGAATTCCTACGCCTACATTATGTAGTTTACAAGAAGGGAGATAAGTCATCCTGTGATAATTCACCGAGGAAGCTTGACTAATATAGTATCTAAAGTTCTAGGCTCCATAATAATAATGCGTAGAATGAGTGGTACTCAGGGGAAACACACACCAGAAAATCAGTTAGGCTTTAAACCAGAAGAGGGTGTATGATGTTAGTATCTCCACCCATCCTTCAACAGATTCTGGAACATAGGCATACTTGCCATCGGCGTCCAAAAAACGTCACATTTCTTGACCTGAAAGTGGCATTAGATTCTGTCGAACAAGAAGTATTATGGTGATGTTTGGCTGTGTAGGGAATGCCGAGAAAATACATCTCACTGATCGAGGCAATCTACTCGAAATCATGCAGACAGCCAGGTGCGAAACTAAGGAGAGTTGTCATCTGAAGTGATGACAACTAGTGCTGTCCGTCATGGATGCCCACTGTCCCCATTTCTGTTTAACTTCATCATAGATGTACTAATGGAATTGAACCCAAATGCGGACTTCAGTGTCTCAGGCACTGATTTGTCATAATCAGGGAATAATCTCGTTAACTTAGAATATGCAGATGGCTATAGACCTTCTAGGTGAAAACGCTGACGGAATGCAGAGCTGCGATCTGCGAATGTTTGATATACGAATAGATCCCGTCAAATGTAAGATGATGCTACATGACTGGGCTACACTGACTCCTAGCTTAGAAATAAGGAGTGAACTGGTAGAGCGCGTTGACCGCTTCACTTATTTGAGAAGATGTATCTGTATGAACAAGCTGATTCCTGACGGGATCTCAGCAGGGATACAAACAACTCGTGTGGTATTTGCCAATAGACGTTATTTCCGGCGTAGACGTGATATTCAACTGGCTATCAATCAGAGGACGTGTGTACTACTCAGCAGTTCTCTTTATCCTCCCTTTATGATAGTCCGGGGTGACAAGGCCATTGAAAAGGCAAGCTGTATTTGACCCCACATTTGTGGCCGATAATATATTGTGGTTAAGCGTCAAGTGTTACGTGAGCAGAGTAAGTCAATCGATGAGATTATGAAATTACACCGATGTAGACGACTAGGACATGTCTTATGTATGCCTACTCATCCCCTTCCTCAGAGGTCGTCGGTGGAACAGTGGTTAGGACTCTCGCCGACCGTGCACATAGTCCGGGATTCGATCCCCTGCCAACGCACAGCCGATATCTATGGTCGGCCTGCAAAATTTGGGCTACCGGTATCAAATGCTAAAAATTCCATACTTGTACGGAAAATACGGTGAGGCATCAATCAGCAAAATCAAAATTGAAAATAAGTGCTACCTGACAGATGGGAGGTGTAGACTGCATGGTTGCAGTCTTTGTGTTGCTAAGAGCCAATAGCTCAAGACCATAGGTGATATGGCTCGAAATTGTTCTCAATAGAGCAGATGCATTGACTCTTCATGATTACTCATATGCAGTAAATCCAGTGTTTTGAACGTAGTACTTTTTGCTTACTAGCCAAGCTCGTAGACCATTCAACTATTGGGACCTTATCCAATGGTCAAGGAATTCTAACCTTACCAATTCGTTATATTATGCAGATCACCTTGTTATCAGAAGGTCCTAGGGTTGGAACTCTACTACTGAACAGTTCGCTTTATCCTCCCTTTATGATAGTCAGGGTGACAAGGTCATTGAAAAGGCTAGCTGTATTTGACCACCTTGTAATCAGAAGGTCCTAGGGTTGGAACTCCAGTAGATGCCTACTGCCAATGAATTCCAAACTAGGAAAAAACAGCTGACTGTCCAGTACTCCCTGCCTGTGTTTCACCGATTCTCTCTAACTGATAACAATCCCTACAAACTACCCCTTGAAAATAAAAACATAATAAAGATAATAATAATAATATTAATGACAACACCAACAATAAGGAATCTAAATCATCAGTAGTGATTCCATACAAAGAAGTAACCTCGGAAACCTCACACAGATTTCTTAACAAGGCAGGAATAAAAGTGGCTGGCATTTAAACCCACAAACTCAATTAGAAACAAGCTTTGTCGGTTAAAGGATCAAGTAGAGCTTTTAAAACAAAGCAATTTAGTTTACCTAATACACTGCAATGATTGTCGGGTCAAATACATAGATGGGTCAAAGTAGTAGAACAAGGTAAGTGAGTCAGACAAGCCGAAATAAAATTCCAGCAGCAAAATCTAGAATGGTTAACCCAAATAAGATAAGAAATCTAGAGAATAGTTCAGCTATAGCACTGCATGCAGCTACACACAACCACACAATAGGATGGGATAGGATGACGGTTTTAAAATCTAAGGTCACAGGGTATAGAAAGAGATTGATAACAAAATCTTTGTTCATCGAATCAATTGCAAATACATGTAATAGGAATGATTCAACACCTGTCCCAGATATATGGAAAATTCTACTACCCCTACGACAAATAGGAGAAAACAAAGAAAACTATAAAACTCAAGTTTCGAAGTCGTGTGATTACAATTGATATGATTATGAACAATAAATTGTGTTCGAAACGTCATCATCCAGTAAATAATACTGTTTCACTGTGTGATATATCTAATAAACAAACTAATATGGAATTACTTACTACCACAGTGCCGATGTCTTACACATATATTAAGAAAACATATTGCCTATTTATATATATTAATCAGTAGTTGAAAATATTTTTACAAAAAATGGCGGACACATGTATGAGATATACTACATACCTTGACGTTCATCAAAATTCAAAGGAGGTGTGAGCGCTTCCACAACATCACGTAATGTATCCAATCCAACATTATTAGTGCAGAATGATTCAAGTCGTTCATCTCCTTTTGATGAGTAAGGATTAGAATCAGAAAAATAGATTTATAATAATAACAACAACAACAACTAAAAACCTCCTGTCTACATATTCCTACAATTTTGTATTCATGAATATTATCTATACAATTGATATAATAAAAAGACAGAAGTAAAACTCGTTAGAACTAGTAAAACCAAAGCAGTGACTAGGTTACATTAATGAGTTAGAACTCAATTACAGGAAGAAGGGGAATGGGGTGGGGGAAGATGCCAAAGTCAGGCAGGATCGTAAAACACACAGGGAAGACACAACTTCATTGCTCAATGATATACGATTCTACTACACACAGGATAATGCACATGATTCGGATTTTTTAAATCAGCGTCGAATCGTTCGCAATATTAGGTGACATAAGGTCAGGCTGGAAAAGAGTTAACTAGTGATGGTCAAACCAAAACATGGCTTCGTAACACATGTCCTAACCATCTCAGTCTTTGTAGCTTCACAACCTCGTCGATTGATTTCCCCTGTTTACCTAGAACTCGACGCCTAACCTCCATGTTGCTCACCTTATTATGCCACTTTACACGGGAAATAGAACGCAGGCACCTATGATCAAAGACAGCTAGTCTTTTCATGTCTTCCACTCTCAGTGACCAGGTCTCACAACCATAAAGGAGGACGGAGAGGACTGATGAGCAGTACACCCGCCCTTTGGTCGATAGTCGAACATCTCGTCTACGCCAGAGTCGGTGTAAACTGGCAAATGCGAAACGAGCCCCCTGTATCCGTACTCAGCTGAGATTTCGTCTGAGATCAACCCGTTGGCACTGGCTGATGGTACTTCCCAAATAAGTGAAGCGGTCAACGTGCTCTACCACTTCACTTCCTATTTTTAAACTAGGCGTCGATGTAGTCCAGTCCTGTAACATCATCTTGCATTTGGCGGGAGCGAATCGCATGCCAAACATTAGTAGATTGCGGCTCAAGGTGGCCACTGCATGAACTCTAACTTCTACCGATTCGTGATTTAGAGCGACCCCAACCATTGTCGTCGGTAGGACATCCATCCTCATACGTGACATCTGGATGGACCTCACTGGTAACGACTTCTTACTAGAAGTCCAGGAAACTCCGTCCTATAGCAAGTCAATACAGAGCATCATATTAATTTCGTAGAGTTCGGTTTCTAAGGGTTAGTTTTGTTTTTACGAGTTGATCATGGATTGATATCAGTTAGAGAGTACTGGACAACTGTTTCCTCTGTCCTAGTTTTCGAATCATCGGCAGTACGCACCCACTGGTTTTCAATGATTCTCTAACTGATATCAATCTATGATCAACTCTTAAAAACAAAACTAACCCTTACAAATCAAACTATAGGAAAAGGTAATATTTTCACTTGGTTTAATGTTATATTCATGTTCTTATTGAACCATATCATTATTATTATTATTATTATTAATTATTACCCTTGTGATGAGAAAATTAGATGCAATATTTATTGTATTACATGCTGAAAATTATATATTTTGAAGCAAAAGTGCTCTTTGGAATAAAGCTGCTATTGTTATTATTATTATTATTTTAACTACAAGCAGACGGTACACATGAGAATGTCAACACCAGACAGGATCGGAACTACAAGACTGACCCCTTTACTTACTCGGAAACCAGTTCGAAAAACCTACTGTACTCATTCAGCATAAAGAGAACCAAGCACAGATTTTCAATAACAAATGTTAAGTCAATCGTTTCTTTTAGGAGGAATAGGAAACTTGGCGCGCACGCGTCGCAAAAATCATCTCCAACAGACTACTGGCGACTTTTATCAACAGTTGCCCACTTCAATGGCTCCGTACACTGAAGAGATCAAATTGAACGTTCATAAAAGTATTCCAAAGAAAAAGAAAGATGGATTGGACACACATGCTGAGGAGACCTGTTGAGTGACATCACGTGTACCAGGCCATATCTTTCGAATGGAACCCGAATGCGAAACAATCAGTTGGGCGTGACTCCAAGGTTGACATGGAGGAGATTAGAGATTATGGGCAACCGTGGGGCCAGCCAAAAGGACTTCAGAGAACAAGGTTCAAATGGAGATGTATTGGTACAGCACTACATATATATATATTCATATTCCACTCAGGACCACAGGGAATAACAATAATAATAAAAGTGTGTTGAGAAAATATTGAAATTTTTCAAACTTACGATCAGCACTAAGCATAAATTGAATTGCAGCTCCTTTCAACTTTGCTGATCCAACATCTGTCAGCTGACAGTTAAGCATTGAAATGATTCTGAAATAGGAAGCCACACATAAAAAGAAAAAGAAAAAAACAATAGGCACACTGTGAAAAAGTTTACCCATACAGTACACTACACTATACTATGCAGTGGGTCATGATTGAAGGTGAATAAGGCATTCCAAGTTCACAGGTGGAGGCAGTCCGAATTATCGGTCAATCCATCAAAACTCTACAATCAAACCAATAGATAGTGTTAGGGGTTAGGTTAGTATTTTAGAGAAAATTGGTTCAGAGTTTGGCAAAGCCTCAATTTTCTGTTCCACTTTCAGACACACCATTATGTCGATTAGAAATGGTTCTTATAAGATGTCGAGAGTTACACACAGATACGTCTTACTGTAGGCAATGAATAGGGCGGGAAGGCACCAATGAACTCGGAAAGAGACAAGCACACTTCAATATAAAACTTGATTTTCGGCAACAGTAAAGAATAGACACCAACCCCAGACGACCAATCAGATTCTTTCAGTTAAAAAGTGGCAGAAAATTTATAGAAAAGACTGCATTTATCACATATATATGTAGTAAAAATGAATTATACAGGATAAATGTCTCTAAAATGCTGCTAAAACTGGTCCCAATTTCTCATAGGAGTGGTTATAGACATATTAAACCAATGTCGATACAAAAACTCATCTAATTGGCCGTATACCATATCACTCCGGAAACCGTTTACCATTCTGCTACGCTTTTTGAGATGGGTCCAAAATCTTTCAATGGAATTTGCAGGTGTGCCTGTTACAGAATCCACCAGTTCAGAGGAATGGTTGAGACTTCGTGGTGAATATAGCCTAGTGATGATAATTGAGAATAGCCTCTCCATTCGTCTGTGTGAATAGTAGTTCCTGGGAGGACTAGTTGTATAATTAGTATTAACACATCAGCACTTCCCTTCGGGATGCGTTCTACAAAACCTTTATGGAGATTTGTGTCGTAAAATCCCAGTACCCAAACATGATTTGCTCTACTCCTACCTCGATTCATTTTTCGCTTATTAAGTACACTTTCGTCAATATGCACGACGATGCCAACTCCTCCAAGTACAGAGGTGATTCCATTTAGCTTTTGCGAGGCAATATCACGACAGTACTGATACCACTGCACTGTTGAAAACTTTGTTTTCTCCGTTTTTGCAGCTGTAGCAGATACTGGTCGCTTTAGTAGCCTGTTGTGGCATATACGCAATACTTGATTCAGGGACAATTTCGTTTTGGAGAAGAAAGTATCTAAAAAGTTACCATAATGTATGACTTACCAACTCGCACAGATTTCCTCATGTAACAGTGGTTGCATCTAAATGCGTAGCCGTCAGTAGCCCAGCAATACTTCTCTACCGTCATTATCCCTCCACATATGCAGGTTTCAGACCTTCCTATCAACCCATTTTCCACACAAAAGTCAAAAAACGAAATCTGTGTGAAACTTGCAACGAAGTTCATGAACCGCACCCATTATGAATGATGAACGATTTGATTAGTCGTTTCAAGGTCATTTGACGTCGGTTTCTATTGTTTACTCTTGCCTTGGATATATATTTCAACTATTTTCAACAGAATTATACATCACACTCCCAACCACACCGATACTGACACAATGCAGTGAAGGATAAATTACCTAAGATGGCCACATCAATGCTTGTATACAAATTCATCTGCTCATATATAATCAGCTAGTTATATATAGATCAAACTTCTCAGACGAATTCAAATCTTTACAAGCTCGTCAACATGTTCCTGTTTGGCTTTGAAAAAGTGTAACCAAATCGATAAATAATGCCATTTTGTGTCATCTAGTAGATAGTGAACATTACATCAGAAAAGATGAGTGATTTGTGGCTGCATATCGACTATCAAAGAATCTGCAAAACGATACACGATTACAACTCTCAGCTTTAACATAAGCTGTAGAGATTAATAAGAAAAAATCGTGCCTTTATGTACAAAATTCTTACAAACCAAACTCTTGAAAATTAAATTCTTATGTTCTGACAATCTCCTGGTTTGACCCGTGTAGTTAACCTCATAGTCATTGCAATACGATCGTCCAACCTACAGAGCTCATCCTACCTGAGCGAGTTTGTAGGTTTAAATGCTTCCCACTAATTTCTGCTCTATTAAGAATCCTATGTAGAGTTTCAGATGTCCCTTGTTTGTATATGGTGAAAATCGTAGATGCGTGCGTGGACGACATATGTTTAATGTTACAGAAACTCAGAGACTACAGGCGAAAACCAACAAACTGGCTGAAGAGGCTGGCAGCGAAGACAATACACCAAGTGAACATAGAGAACACGGAGGTGATGAAGATAACCAAACAACGAACAGCAGCAACAACGACCAGCACCAATCACCGAAATCGAACGGGAGAGATTTGACAGGGGTTACCTCCCTCATTTATCCGGCCAGGGAGCATCGTTTCAACCACAGGCAGTAGGGTCAGATGAAGATATCAAAGCCAGTCAGAATCGGAAATACAAGATACGCATGTCTTCATCAACCTGAAACTAATTTGGCAAGAGTCAGCCTGTCGTGTTTTAGTTTGAGACTATTTGGCATTTTGCACCCACAACATCATCAGGGGTCGAATTCAAAACCTTTAAAGTACAAGGTGATTATTATTAGCATTACTAGAACTCAGATCTGGTGCGTTGAGGGAACGAAGAGATGCGCCACAAGAAATAATAATAACAGAACAATATATAAGGGAAATAGATATAAAATAAGTGCGTAATCATCCAGAAAGCACGTAGGCATGTTTGTTCAAATGATTCAAAGGGTGGCCCATTACTTCGTGTCTGTCTCTCTCTTTGAGATAGAGAAGAAAGGGGAATTGAGACATGTTTGCCATTGATTAAGATCAACTGGTCATAACTGATAACGCCTCAAAGCACCGATTCGAATTACCTCTGGAAGGACACTCAGGAGGCTGTGATTTACCAGTGGATGCTAACCTAACACATGTATGGTAATAGCGGAAATCCACTGGAATTTACTAACCGTTGGTTGCAGCTTATTAGACATTGCCATGGTTTTCACACCACATTGAATGTGATTCTAGAATTCCTGAGGATGGGTATTGACGCCATTCTCAGATACACGTTTCGCAGCTGCGTGTGTTCTGTGTCTTTTTAGTTGTAGACATATATGTTCATGGTATACTGCGAGAAGGAAGTGCACACAGGTGTTTGAGGAGTTGCAGTTTTCTACCAACGCTCCATATCAACTTATTTGTGTCGGCGCTGGTGATGGTCCGATTAAGTAATATCTCACCATATATGTTTGAAATTACTGCTGACCACGAACGGATGGTTATCTGAACAGGATTGTAGAAGACGACGAACTTCGCCGCTCTGTTGGCATGAAATTGCATAGGTGCCATCAGTAAACTGCTTTAACTGGCACAGCTTTCCTACTTAAACACTGGGATCAACAGCTAAATTGTCTATATGGGCGTTTGGCATTTAGAACCAAACTAGTCAGCCTTTGACAGGACTCATCCTTTGTTTCGTCGAAAATGCAGTCAGCTGGGGCGTAAGTGGAGATTATAAATGAAAAGACATCGAGCGATATGCAAATCTTCCCTTCTTCTGACTCATCCACTCATTTGGACAGCACACAATCGAATGTCCACTGGAATTTAGTCGAGTAGAGAATTTTCTGTCCTATCTGGCCCACACAAACTAACTGGCAGTATCTCCCGTCACCCCTATAGCGAATTTTGTCCACTCATAATGTTGGCCAGGTGAAGTTAAGTAAATAACCACACCTTGGTCTTGTATGAGTGTTTCCGGAATAAAACGCGCCTCAGGTCTGAAAGTTGATCGTTCCTATATAATGAAGTTGGAAGAATGGTCTTCAGAGACTGAGAATAGTGGGTTTTTTCGGCTCAGGTCTCCACTGATTATCATGGAGTTAAAAGGAGATGGAGAACCTACCTGTGGAAAAAAACAACAATGCAGGAAAGCAAGAATATGAATGTGAGCGATGATCATGAAAGCTTTGTGTCGACGGAAGTGTTTAGGCAGTTGTTACTTTCTGACTGAACACACCTTTGAAGTCGACTTCTTGAAATACCTGAAATAGCATTAGTGTTGGGTGATAGGAGATCATAAGGTCAACTATTTGAGACCGGTCATACACAGCCTGGTTACTGGAATTTTATTTGTACTAGTAATTTTCACAGAATAAGTTGGAGTACACAACTTCTGGGGTCAACCATTTCTGACTGGATGTTTGAGGGAAACGCTTTACTGCCATTACCACCAACTGACCAGCAGTATGATTTCACCCTCAGACCCCCAAATATATCATGAACCACTAACACTATTATTGTAATTACTTTTAGTCTGTCTAAACTGTACTTTTAGCATTGTAGGATATGAAGGAGATATACGTTCGAGCCAATGTAGACCGTGAGGTCATTTCAGTATGACGGTCAGAATACGTGTCAAGATAGCTAGTGGCTGTTGGTTGGATTTAAGTCGCCTATCAATGTGAGTACAGAATTCAGATGAAAATACGGATCGAATTATCATTCCACAACACTAGCTGCTTAATATTTCAAAGAGAAATAAAGGCATATTTTTTCATCAATGATTATACAATACAGATTTATTATTACTACTACTACTCTTTCAAATATGATTCAGAGAAAAAGAATGTCAAGCGATAAATGTATTGATCTGCAAGTCTATCTATGGTGGTGTTTCAATTGTAGGATGCTTGGTAGTCATACAAGTGGTTCGGGTTCGACTCCCTCCTAAGCTTTTCCTTGAGCATATTCACTGATTACAAGCTCAGGAAAGAGTGTGAGCGTCTAACGCGAGACTAGCAACCCCAGACCGTGAAAACAACACCACTACCAATAGTGAAACGCCAAAGAATTAACTATACACATATCACCTTAGTAGATCATTGCCCACTGAAAGTGGAAGACATGAAGAAGCTGGCTAGCTTTCTTTGATCATAGGTGCCTACATCTTATTTACCCTGTTAGACGGTGATATAATTGACTGGTGAGTAATATTGAGGTTAGGCGTCGGTCGAGTGCCAGGTAAGGAGGGAGAGGAAATCAATAGACGAGGTTGTGAAGTTACATCGATTGAGATGGTTAGGACATGTGTGACGCATGCTTAGCCACCCATCGCCTTCCTCAACAATCCGCAATGTTAGCTAACTGACATAGGATGCATCAGGTTGGAAAAGAGTTAGCTAGTGGTGGTCAAACCAAAACATGGCTTCATCAGTCAATGGAATCTATAACAGTTAGTTTAAACCAGCCAGATAGCCACGTCTGGAGGCGTAGACTTCCTAGTTAGCTGGTTGGGGTCCTCGGATGGTAAGAACCAACGAAGTCAAGGCTGAAGACAACTGGTGAAATGGCTCAAAATCTTTTTCAATGGCGCAGACGCAACCACTCCTTGTGACTTGTAATATCCAATAAAAACTACATTGTTCTTCCATATTACTTCGATATTACTAATCTTTTCGCCTCATATCTTCTTTTTTTATTACAGCTTGATTCCACACCGTATTGTTAGTACAAGTATGGAATTTTCAGCGTGGATATCGGTAGCCCAAATTTTGCAGGCCGACCATAGATATCAGGTGTGCGTCGGCGTGGGCTCGAACTCCGGACCATGGGCATGGTCGGCAAGAGTCCTAACGTCTGTGCCACCGACGCACTGTGTTTCGAATGTCATTTTACTCTATTTTCTTGCTTCGTGTGCTGAGTGAAGTGTGGCAACTCAAACTGATGCACATCAGTGCAAAGTTCTACGCTAAAACCAGTCAGTCAGTACATCATCATATTAAATTCCTATAAATCTATACACCTTAAAAACAGCAAGTGACACTTATTCTGTGCATAAACAAATAAAAAGTGATGGGCTTTCCTACGGGATTCTTGCAGCATTCATTCGTATAATTACTTTGAAAAGGCGAGAAGAATCAATTTCAGCATATGGTTGTTGTTTCTTACAGACTCTTATCAGCTGCATAACCAATAAGCATCTATGCACTACAATCACATCTTTGTTTGTTTGTTTGAGTTTTAAAGAGTAAACATAACAAGGCACATAACATAACATATTATACTTCTAAAAAGATAATTTTGTGTTGTATTTTTTTTTAAATAAAACGATAAAAAGCAATAAAATAACGGGATTGAAAGAAGTTTGCTGTGTGTGTGTGTGTGTGTGTGGAGGGGTGGTAGGAGTGACGGGTGTGTAAGGCAAGGTTAGCTAGTTAGCAAACATTATGTGAAATCAAAAAATAACGACTAAAATAAAGTTGCGGTGAGACAGGATAAAACAAAAAGGGGAATATTATCAGTGATTCAAGTTGCTATGAAAAGGGACATACATGAGGGGAGAGACGACGAGATTCTAAAGTGACGAAATTTATCACGTCATTATAAAGTGGTAAAGGTGATAAAGGGAATTATTCAAATAAATACTTATTAAAATCAGTAAAAATGTTCAACAGTGGACAATAAAATTTTTAAAATAATTCATTAATTAGCTAGTAAAGTCAGTCATTAGAAGCAAATCGATGATAGGCTAATCCTAGTAAACTCATCGACTGCCAACTAAGTAGTGTCCACCAGAGTAAGAAGCCAAATATACCATGTGAAATAGTCATTCCCCGTAGAATAAAACTATCCATTATCTGATTAATAATATATCTAGCTTGAATAAACATACTTGGCCAAGAAGTGACATTATTTTGACTAATAGTTAAAAAAAAGATTGACGAGGAAAGATTCGTTAGATTTTGAGCATTCGATACAACAGCAACAGGCAGAGTTGTACTATTCGATGATAAGGATGGCTGAAAATACTGACACGGTAACCATGAGAGACCGGATAAATTTTTATGCAAGCATAAAAGACATAAAGATAGAAAACACGGTGTAATGTATTGAAGTGAGACAAGATTTAAACAATAGAAAATGCTTGCAACTAGTCGTTGTACTTCTTTGTTTGATGTTTGACCTGGCTCACGACTGAATTTATCCAACTTCTCTTGTGCGGAATTCAGGTATGCCTATGAAATAAAAGGGAGGAAAAGTAGAAAAAGGTAAAGGGGAAGCTTTTGGTACAATAGAGACATTTTTGAGCGAAAAAAAAAACACGGAAAGATCAAAACTACCGTTATTCATGTAGAAAAAGAAAACGGAAGGCGATGAAAAAATCACACAAAGATTGTCAGCGAGAAAAACAACATGATCTTCCTGACACCATTAGTCTGAAGAACAGTCATTCATACTGAGGGACAAAAAGCTGACTCATTCACTAACTTACTTATAAAACAACTTTTACATTATTTGACAACACAAATCTTCCCGCAGACAGCTGTGTAGTACACTGAAATTTTATTTGGGGGTAGAGCATACCATCTGGTGATTTTAAGTCTTGAATGATGAGACTTGCAATAGCAATGAGTTCCAGACGGCCAGAGATATCAATCCGATAGAATTAGTGTGGGAATTTTCAATAAGGGAAATACTAAAGATTTCCTATTAGCCTGGTGCTTAGACCAATCTTCAATCGACAGATATGTGAATCGAGTGTCACATAATAGAAGCGGTCAAGTTCCAGATCGACTGATGTAAACTTCAACTTATTGTTACTACAGACAACTGTGACTCATTCATGTAGACGTTCGATTTCAAACCTCTAAGTCACAGGTTTCAACTCCTTTCTCCGTAGAGAGATTCAGGTAATCAGACAATATTATTAGTTCTCATACGATTTGTGCTGCTAGTTTCCAACTGCAAGTTGTTTGTTGGGTAACAGTGTCATGACACTGACCTATAGAAACGATGAATACACCTTAAGAAGCAACTTTATACATCCTCCCATAATCATAGTTCATCATTGCACAGTTCACTTTAAAAGCTAACGTGAAGTATGCATTTTACCACGTGACTATTCAGAGAAAAAAACTATCTGGTCACAACAAACACACCTAATCGGTAATTCTCTTCTCTATAAGTCAACATTGTATGTTACGAGTTATTACCAACAGTATACACGGAAATGACAGCGTGTGCAATCGGTACAATCGATTTCAAGGCTACAGAGAAGAGTGCACCATCTTATGCTGAAATAGCTTTCTCATGTACCACAAAGTCCTGATAGATGTAGGTATACACACGATTAACAACAACTAATGTCAAAATGTTCATCTTCAGAATTTGTATACTACAATGTGTCACCAGATAACGATGATTTATTCATGGTAAAAACAAAAAGAAAACGTAACTCGAATAAATTTCACAGATAATCAGATTTAGACTTTACTGAATAAGGAAACTGACTACTAGATGGCTTTCATTGAGAGGAAATATTTCTAACAGGTTACAGAAGAATTTTATCAACGACCGCCTTCGCTGGCTCCATAATTAAGATCAAATGACTGACCAGAAAGAATATCCTCTACTTACTTCACCACAAAGTAATCTACAATGAGGCTGCCGCCATCTGTGAACTTTTCGGTGAGTGGTTTGCGAACTTTAGTTTAGAAACGCAAATCCTTGGTGAAACCATCCCCTTACTAGCTCCTCCCTCAAGAGTACAGTGTTCAGCAATCAATTAACAGAACAAGCAGTGAAAAACCTTAGACCTTCTACTAGCATGAAAGGGTGTGGTTTTCCCTTATTAATTCATAAATTCTTCTCAATACCTATGGATAGTGGCACTTACCCTAATGAGTGGAAAACTAGCTTTATCATTCCACACTACAAATCTGGTGATAAGGCAAACGTTCGCAATTACAGAACCATAAATATAACCCAAGTTATCTCGCGAATCATGGAGAAAGTTTTTAAAGATCAATTATCAGACTATCTACTTAGGGAAGATCTTATTGCAAGGTCTCAACGAGGATTTCACAAAACCAGGTGCTGCGTTACTTGCCACTTAGACTTTTTCAACTGCATCACTAGTAGTCGCGAAGCACGTGAGCTAGTCGCTGTTCTCTACTTCGATATATCTAGGGCATTTGACATGGTATCTTACAGTATTCTCTTTGAGAAGCCTTACTCATATGGAATTCGCAATCCATTACTCAACTGGTTAAAGTCATTTATTTCTAAGCAACAAGGTACAAATAACCAACGTCGGTTCATTCTTGTCTCATCCTAGGCAGATCACAAGTGGGGTTGTGCAAGGTAGTGTCCTAGGACCACTTTTATTTACAGTCTGCATTAACATCATTTGTAACTGCTTCACCTCAGGTAAACCATTCCTATATGCTGACAATCTCAAAGTCGTTTACTCCTGCTACACTCATGAATTAAACGATATGGTAAGTAAAATACGTCTTGAACTAAGTAGTCTCGCAACATGGTGTGCTAAATCCTGTCGAAAGTTTAACATTGATAAATGCGGCTGCATTTGTATCGGCGACACTAACCTCGACCTAACTCTTGAAGTAAATGGGCGAAAACTAGCCAAGCTCAAACCAGTCGTAGATCTCAGTATCAGATACTCTAGTAACTGGACGTTCTCTGAACAGACTGATTATGCTAGACGTAAAAAGAGAAGGCTCCCAGGATGCATAACACGCAATTTCTTTTGTTGTGAAACTAGGGTTTTATTATACAAAGTATGTGTCCGACTTATTTTAGAATACTGCTCGTTTATTCTTAGCGGACTGCAATAGAATGACAAGCTTAAATTAGAGGGAGTGCAACGGCAATTTACCTGAACAACTCTTGGTTTAGAAATTGGTCACGAATACTCTGAGTGTTGCGACAGACTGAGATTAGGACCACTCCGGAAAAGATGTCTCAAGCTAAACCTTATTTTCTACTACAAGATAACTAATCTTTTCTTGCACTCCTCCGGGTCAATAACTAAATCTACCTCTGTCATCAGTTACAATCTTAGAAATCACGACAACCGAGTTGCTATAGTGCACTGTTAGACTTAGATATGATAGAGAAGATTTGTAGCTTAGGTGGATGATTTTGATGTGGTTGTGTTCTCTGAGCTGGACAACCAATCACATCCAAGGCCATGAGGAGAGATGATTAATAAACTCGTGGAGAAATCTTAAAGCTCACTTTAAATTGAAGTATGCGCTGAAGATGTCACCTAGTAGGGCGATGAAAGCTTCGCAAATTAACTATCCAGCTCAGAGGACACAAACACATCAAAAAATTGTCAGACCTACATGCGGTACAACTTCTTAAATAAGTTTTCAGTCATTTGGAATAGACTACCAGCTAATGTGCGCGACGCAGACACAATTCCAGTGTTCATCCCCTCAGTCAAAGATGACAATGCACTCCTACGTCTGACTCCTTAACCCTCTTTTTTCACCCCACATGGATATTGTAAGTTCATTAAACGTATAATTTACAAAACTAAAATTGTGTCTTCTATCTATTAAGCAAGAATAAGAATGGCGACGTGAAAAGTCCGTACAATGTATGAGACTGGCTGGAAAGGCTGCTCAATTAGGTAACGAAATGAGAAGATATGGCAAACAAGTGCTGGGTATCTGCGAAAGCAGATGGAACGGATGGGGATCATCCAGATTGTCAACCACAAACACAGTAAGGCAGTGAGTGGATATAATGAAGTCACCAGTGGCAGCCAGAGCCCTACTGCAGTGAAAGCCTAACTCATACTGCAGGGACATGAAAGCTACATTCAAAATGAAGGAACATTACAATTACCCAATGCTACGCACAGTGATACAAACAACGCGGAAAAAAGAGAAGGAAAATTTTTACGGACAACTACAAACAGAAATGGACAACATTCCAAATGGTGACATAAAAGTCCTCATGGGCGATGCGAACGCCAAACTGGGACCCGATAATACAGGAGGAGAACTCATCATGGGTCGAGAGGCTCTCATTCAGTAAAATGAATGAGAACGGAGAATTATTCACAGACTTCTGCGCTTCCAATGATTTGGCGATTGGAGGCAGTGTCTACAAACACAAGGATATACACAAGGCCAGTGACATGGATTCCCCCTGACGGACATACCACAAACCAGATAAATTTCATCTCAATGTTGCTCAAGGAAGTGGAGACGCAGCCAGTCTGCTGGATAAAAAGTCGAGAATGGAAGCAGATGTGGGCTCAGACCATCATCTACTCCAAGTAACTTTCAAGGTGAGGCTGAAATCCTCGAAACAAATGGAGATAGGCCACTGTAATTCAAGCTCAACATTCACAAACTGAAGGACAAATCTACAAGGGATACCTTCACCACAGATAAAATCAGAGCAAAGTCGGAGACACTACGTGGTATCCCCGAGGAAACCTGTGTGGAAGAACATTGGAACTAGCTGTCTGAAGGCGATATTCAAGGAAACGTGTACAAATGTTCGTCATCACAGAACAAAGCGTAGAATGGCAGTCAAACCTGCCTCTACCTCTACTTCACCGACTTCAAAAAGGCTTTTGACAGACAGTTTTGAGCGAGAAGTGATTTGGAAACTACTTCCACACTGCGGCGTACAGTGCTCAAGTCTTTATCAACCTCATTAAACAGCTGGTTGGCTATATGACAATGCCTGTCACGTGTCAGGCGACCCACAACGAGAAACTCAGCGGAGCGTTCGAAGTGTATACAGGAGAAAGACAGGTTGTCTGCCTATTATTACCAACGATGATAAGCTTAATTGTGGTGGACTGGATTATGCGTCAGACTGTGAGTGAGTAGCGACGAGACGGGAGTGTACTGGACCACCGATGAGAAGATTCCAGAAGATCTGGATATCGTGCGTGGATGACATATGTTTAATGTCACAGAAACTCGGAGACTACAGGCGAAAACCAACAAACTGGCTGAAGAGGCTGGCAGCGAAGACAATACACCAAGTGAACATAGAGAACACGGAGGTGATGAAGATAACCAAACAACGAACAGCAGCAACAACGACCAGCACCAATCACCGAAATCGAACGGGAGAGATTTGACAGGGATTACATCCCTCATTTATCCGGCCAGGGAGCATCGTTTCAACCACAGGCAGTAGGGTCGGATGAAGATATCAAAGCCAGTCAGAATCGGAAATA